AACATAACAAAAGCTTCAACAGAACACAGAGATTTGTCACGTTCAAGGTGCGATGCAAGCACAAGAGCTGCGACTCAATCCACAGTAAGCAGAAATGTATGACTTTCTCATTACCTCCAGCGTCACTGAATTTGACAGATTCCATGCCTTTGAATGTGAGACGGCGGCTTTGTTCATCCCTTGGTGTGCATTCAAATAGCAGCCAGCAGTTTGTACACATACAAGCCAGATGGTTGAATTCAGTTTTATGCAACCACCAGTCTGCACTGCAAGTTCCCCAACTTGATTTTAAGGTTTGCCGAATAAATGACTAATACTAATTTATTATTTGTGTCTCGGGGTAACAACCCATGACAGAACGCCACACTCACATGATGCTCTCTAGAAACACAGTGTACCTCTCTGACCCTGCGCACTCATCTACAGCTTATGACTGATGGGTCCTCATCTTAAAAGCCACCTGTGCCCTTGGGCTGGTGAAAAAAAATTCTCTGCATTATAATGAGAAAAGTCAAGGCTGGTGTGAGCAATGCTCCAGCTGCTGCCTCCGGGCAGATGTAGTCACCGAATAAGCCCCAGAGTGATGCTAAATTCTCGGCGCAAGACATTTTTATGACTTCTCTCTGTATGTCGACATGTGTGCACACACACAGAGTGAATTAGTGCTACTGGTCACCTTCTTAAATAGGTCAGACTAAACGAGGCATCGTATTTACAATCATATCCACACCTGGGGCCTGTCTCATTAAACCAAGAGGGCAAATGAAGCAATTTTACTGTCATTATTTTATTACCGTTTTCCATGCATTTGCCTCAATATAAAAATCAATATGCGAGTTAAAGGTGTATGAGTATTTTTTAATTGTTTTAATATAATGTAAAAGTACGTCTTTCAGTCTGACTAATTTAACTGACTCATAAATTTACTTGCAGTACATCATAAGTAGCGTTAGGGTTTGGGCCAATATTATATTAATGCTAAAAATCCATGTCATTTTTAATTTGATCTAAAATAAAATACATGTGAAATTGCAATAGCAGGACATCTTCAAACCCAGGGTTAGGGTCATAAAATCCGCTGATAGATTTCTTTAGACATGGCTTGGCCCGTCTGCAACCCACAGCTACTAACAAAGGTTGCAGAAGCCCTCAGGAAACACTGCTGGCCAAGTTTTAGCCACCCATCTATCGTGCAGATTACTGAGTAAGAGCCCATGTTTTACAACCTTTCACTCTGTAGTAATCAGCAGCATGGCGACGAACTGGGAATTGAATGCACAGCCACGCAAGATAAGATTATCTTAAAGGTTAATTCCCGTTCATTACAAGCAGGGACTTAAGCGCTGACATTCAAGGGTCAGTGTAGGTTAAAGAATGAAGATCCAGAGGACGATTTTATAAAATGGATGATTAAGTAGGCAATAAAAGCAGAAAAAAATGTCAATAAGGAATTATTTTGGTGAATCAATTGCAAATTGAATAGATTTTCACTAAACTGATACAATAAAGACAGGGCAATATGGTGAAACAGTTTGAGAATCATGATGTTCAAAACATTAAACAGCAGTGATAGTCAGGCCTGCACTCCTGCAATAATAATAATTTGGTTCTGTTTGGGTCAATGGCCTCAGGCAGAAGGTGTTGTTTCTTTATCAAGCAGCACAACCAAAACAGCAAAACACTTCTAAAGTGACTTGACTGGAATAATTACTTTTGGGTGATGGTTGAGTGGTGACATATTAAGTTAGTGGAACAACCGGTCTCAACAAAGGCCAACATTTTAATCCAAAACAACAGCTGAATGTGATCTTGTCTTTGCTGTAAAGTAACAATCATCCCCATTATTCATTACTAAAGGCCAACCTTTTATTGCTCACATGAATATGCCTGCAATCTAGAAAACTAAAAACTGTAACTGTAAGATGGAAGAAATCTTTCTCCATATTTGCCAACAAAAACCACATAAGTTTATTATTTGTGTATATGAGCCAAGCCGGAAATACTAACCTCTACAAGAAATACATTTGGATATAATGCATGCATGAATCTATCTTCCCTGATGTCTTACGTAGACAAACAGGATTGCTGGTGCTGGGACCAGAAGACAGCCATTCATACCAGATGTTCAAGAGCACACTGCAGAAAAATAAGATTCCTAGTGTGGCTCTGACTCCTGACAACTTCAACCAGCACATCCCCCACTTCAACTTGACTGAAGGAGATGAAGCTGTGGTGGATATAAAGGCTGGAGTTCTCTTCGCTGATCGTGCACTCAGGACTGCGCAGGTGGAGCTAAACTTTTCTCCTATATTCTATAGTATATATGCAGTTGGTCAAGGGGAGAAATTCGTTTTTTACAGTTTTGTTTTTTACTGTAGAAAGATATGCTACTTAAAATAACGTTTATCAATATGTTGTGTAAGAAATGTAGGATTAATAATGGCTGATTAAAGCAGACGTTAGGCTGGGGCTTAGTGTTTGCAGCAGAGTCACTCTTTGTCGACGATTCTGCAGCAGAACGTGAGCTGTGACTGTGAACTGCAGGTTAAGGACCTGAAATCTGAGAACTCTGGAAATCATGAAGAATTCGAAGGAGAAAATCTAATTTCAAGCACTAGAAAGACAACAAGGCAGACAAACATCAAACACATCGTCTGTTTGTTTTTTTCGTGGGTGTCGTTTTAATCCAATAACAACCCAAAGCGTCAGTATCTTCAACAATAAATTCACATTATCGTGGTCTGTCAGCACTGAGACAAAGGGCTGAAGGAGAGCAGGCGCCGTCCATGATACCAGGTCAAAGACAAACACTGCAGATTGACAGATTGTACAGAGGCTCTGTAAAATGTAGTGCTGTCGTCAGTTAGGAATTCATAAAAACAGGTGCTTTTTTATACTTATTTATAAATGTGTTTATTAATATAAAAAATAAATACATATTTATAATTAAAATATATATTTTTCCTTTTTTTAATCTCCAAATTCAGAAATGGGTAAAACATTTTGTGTTTATTTGTAGTGGTAAACAATTTTTAAAAAGGTATCATATCAATTAGAGGCATTATAATTAATTATTTATTACATTTTTCTCAGTAGCCAATTCCAGTCCAGCTGTGTAACTCTGGTGCAGTAAATCCTACAATGCACCAGTAAATCTATCTGCATCCGCAATAACAAGCTGATAAAAAACATGATGTACCACATACAAATTTCTTTTTGTAATCTTAGATGCATTTATAAGAGCAGTGTTGTGTATGGAATTATCTGTCCAAATGCAGCACACGTCTGTTCTGTGTATATTCCTGATAATATATCGGTGTGTAAGAATAATCTCTTTTTTTTTTGCAGTCATCAGCCTGTCAACCTGCTGAGGACATCATAATGAAATTTGCTTCCATTCCAGCAAATGGAAGCGTTTCAGACGTGATTGTCTTGATATAGTTGGTTATCCCAAAGAAAAGTCAAAGTGTAATTAAGTTTGAACTTATATACAGTATGTTTTATGATTTATATTTCCATGACACATTTTAAAATATCTAATTTATTATATAATGTATTTTGAATGACTTGCTTTTGAACAGCCTGTTTCATCAGTATTTACATGAGATAAAAGCTGAAATGATTTCATCACATCTATTCATTGATGCAAGGACAGTGTTTATTATTTGTATATAAATGATTTATATCCTTGCTACATGGTCTGTATAAAAAAAAAGTAACTAGTAAAATGTTATAATAATGCAGTAAAATAAAGATCACCATAGGAGTTGGAGGTCACATATGCCAAAATAAGGGCCGTGGGCCAAATGGGGCCCGCTACATAATTTTATGTATTATTGATGTATTGCCACTGATTCCTATTTCTTTACAGAGGCAGTTTGAGAAGTTAGGCGGAATCATCAGAGACAAAGAGAAAGTCATAGACATCAAGCCTGGTCCCGTTGTGACAGTGTCGACTACAGCTGGTGTTTACCAGGCTAAGAGTGTGGTCATCACCGCTGGACCCTGGGCTAACAAACTGCTGGCCCACACTGGCCTTCAGCTTCCACTACAGGTACAAAGAAACGATCCATTCAAAGAACTGTCTAACCATGACTTTTCAAATTACAGTCTGCTGGGTCTGTGTGCAGACCTCCACAGCTGCTAATGTGATCACGACACAGGTGAAACTGAGGCCATCTCAGGAAGTCAGCAATATAATATGAGTGATATGATCCAGTTCTGATTCCATACAGTCCAGGTTTGATGGGTCACGTTCTAAACTATAAATATTTTTCAACCTATGCCGATGTGAACACAACTGCCTTCTGAAATGACAAAGCTGTGAACGTTAGCTTTACTGTGTTTCTGCATCACCATCAACATGACATATGTTTGAGGCCATGCAGTGTTGACACAGAAGTTTAATGATGCGTTAATTCAGCACATGTATTTTATAATAACATTAATAATATTTTGCAAGGCCATATTTTTGAAAAATAACCGTCTCAATTTAAGATCTGCTGTGTTTTTGTTGTTGCTGAAAAATGTCCAAATGAACACATACAAATTAAATTGTTGGAAATAAGGCCAACACCTACACAGGGACAGGATGAACACAGTACCTAGACATCCCATTGTCAAGGTACAATGTAAATACAGACCATAATTTTATCATAAAATAACCGAGCTCTCATGTTTCAGGAATGAAGAGTTCTCACATGATTAGAAAAATGAGCTTAAGAATAAAACATATTAAAATATATATATGTATATATATATATATCAGCAGTCATCTCACTGGATTGGAGTGGGACTGACACTCCTGTCCACAAAAAGACCAATACGAGTCTAAAACTAACCTTTGCTGTACATGCCAAATAAAAAATAATTAAATTGACCATGTACATCTCATTAACTGTGTTAAATTACGCAACATAGAAATAAAAATAAAAAGATGAGAACATGAGATCCTCATTATGCTCAAAGTTTGTCAGAAACTGCTGTTTTGAGGATGCTAAGAATATTTGGATTCTACTTTAGGGATGTTAAAAAAATAAAAACAAACAAACACTCATTTGTATTCTTTTTACACCGTATACCGTTATTGGAAAGAAATACCAGGATGAATGATTTAAAACACTAATATGGTTGATATTATTTTCAGTAATATAAGAATAAGCCCATATTATATTATTTATGCCTGTAAGTGCAGTAAAGCCCCAACATTTGGATTCAGACACAGTCAGCAGCGCACTTTTTTTTTTCCCATCTTGCAGTTTGCCACACATTCCGAAAGAGAAAGTAATGGGTAAACAAGCAGACAGCTGTTAGAGTAGAGAGCTGGAGTAGATATTGGAATTGCATTATTCAGGCTTGCAGCAGGCTGGGGGGGCTGTGGTACGCCATGCCTGAGTGAACTGGTAGAAAAGCATAGACTCAGACTTTATTGGCTGGCCAGAGAATTCTGTCTGAATTTTTATGGTCCCTGGAAACAAGTGCATGGTCGGATAGTTCATTACGCTGAAAGCTAGTGAACAACGCCTTCTTATTATTGCTACCTTCAGATGTATCACCGTGAATACGTTACATTAAATCCTAATTCGCACCTTACTGCCGCTGCGCTGATTTTGTAATTGCACTTTTATTTGAATGAGGGAAAAAAAAGAAAAGGCTGAGAAGGTAGGCGTCTGGGTGTTGTTATTTTTTTGTGTTGCTCTCTTCACCCAACATGAAGTTGCAGTGTTGAAGTCACACTGCCAATTCCGTGCCCGTGTGTTTTCATTACGGTTCAAGGCTTCTCGCGGGGAGTAAGTGTTGTATTGATTAGTGTAAGAATGAATATTTAAGTAATTGAACTGCATTCATCTTCTCCACAAAAGCCCACATTCAGCAACCAAGGTTGCCAGGTCTTCTTTTTAAAGCAACTCTAAGCTTTTTTTTTTTCCTCTCTATCCTCCTCTATTGTATGAATAGTTCATGGATGTTCCTCCGTGTTTGCTTCCCCTCTATTTCCTCCACAAACGTGACATTTTTATAACAACACAGTAATTTGTCAACTAATCAACTCTTCATTGACTAACACACAATTTGACGACCCACAGAGTAGTTCACCTTTCTGATTTAGACTGGTTTGATTTAGACTGGTTTGTTTTCAGGTGTTGTCATCACTCTCTATGGTGCTGCCCAACAGACCTAGGGCTTCTTTTTTGTTTTTCAGTTTGGTCTGAATTGTTTCTGCAATTCTTTCGTCTACCTGGTGGCTCCATCTCCAGCATCTTTTGTTCTTTACATCCACTATCTTGGCTTAGCATGTGTCAAAACAGTCAACCTTATCTCTCTTACCCCCACCTCCCACCCCCACTCCACTCACCCATGACTAATCCTCTGAGATGCTTCTTTCTAATCCTGTGCAACCAGATAGCTCTTATTCAGCTCTGCCACCAAATCTCAAGGACAGTTCCACTGTCTTCAAAACATACATCATAGCAGTTCTCACTACCCGGCTGTAAACCGCACAGTACATTATACACCAGGCATAAATAAAAAAACATGTTTCATAGTCTAAGTAACACAAATGTGCAGAAAGGGTTCATTGCATTTAACTTTTTCTAATAATTTTATTTTTATTAATTCTATTGTTGGATTTATTTATAATAATATTTAATGCGATGACGGTGTCAGTTTGAAGAGTTTTTGTTAACTACAGAAATATTTTCTTTTCTTTTCCCCTTAATATAAATACTCTTATCATTATCTTATCTTATCTTATCTTATCTTACTGTTCATTGCATATTCTTTGAAACCAGTCCTAAAGAACTATCAGTGGCGATACTTGGTATTGCATGTACATAAATATAAATACTCTTATCATTATCATCAGGACAACACTAGAAATCTGTCATAAAATTTAGTCATCCACAAGTTAGGTACAAGGTCAGTCGGCCTAAACAGTCTCAGCTCCCCTGAGAACTCTTCAACAGGATGAAGCAGTTGAAGATACGAAGGGTGTTATATGTCTGTCTGAACTGGACTGGACTGTGCTGTGGAAATGAATTTCCTCTTAGGGACAGTAAATCCACGTCTAATTTCATCTCAACTGGCAGAAAAATAATCCCTTGGTCACAGCAATAAGGTGATTTCATTTTCCTTGGTAAAGTTCAAAGGTGAGGATCATGGCGTTGTCCAAACACATTTTTTGGATCTGTCAACAAAATAAACCGGCAGTGCCCTGAGGGAAGGCTTCGGAATTTGGTACAGATGTTCACTGCATTGAAGTATAATATGACCTGATTTTGTGGACTGAGAGACTCAGAGACCACACAAACACAAACACTGAGGGTTGTGTTGGTTGTGTGTGATGGCAAATCGATGATTTAATTTCCTTATTCTCAAATCACATCTGACAAACAGTGTTGAAAGGACAAAAGTACAAAAGAAAAGTTTCTTAACAAAGTGTAAAATGGACCTAGAAAGTGTGACAGAATGCCAGTGTTAATGAGTAACTATGAAGCCAGACATTAACAGTTTACTCATCACTCCTCAGTGAGATAAATTATTTAAAGATATATGGTCAAGTTCCAAACAACAATCAGGTGATTTGCTGGTTTGTAATTGCTTAACACGTTTTTTTTCTGTGTTAGGTGACCAAGATTAATGTCTGCTACTGGAAAGAGAAGGTTCCCGGGTCGTACAGTGTGAACAAACGGTTTCCCAGTTTCCTTCAACTTGACAGTAAAGAGACAATGGACCACATCTACGGCCTCCCATCCCAGGAGTATCCAGGTCTAATGAAGGTGCGTCACCCCAACTGACATAACCTGAGACGAACAGCTCAAGTCCAAAGGTGATGTTGTGAGGAGGGTGGAGTTGATGTTGGTGTAGCCTTGTATATAAAGAGGAGGGTTTTACTAATGCCTGTTTTAGCTGGAGGACAAATCTGTCGGTGGAAGGTTTTTAAGACATATTCTGACGTGTATGTCTGCTCTTGAGACCACTTGAAGTTAATGGTGTGGTCTGTGGGAAAAGCTGGCGACCAGGCAGTCACAGTAATCAATATTGGATGTGGTGTTTTTGTCTGACTGGTGAAACAAACTGGCATATTTAAGATTTTATTTTAGAAAAACTCCTTGAGTTTCTATTTTATTCTCAAAACCATTTTACAACCAGCCAAAATGTTAAAGTTTAATTCACATATTACCACATTTTTATTTAATTTATTAACTGGATTTGTACATGCATAATGTATATATTATATAATAATATATATTCTATCATACATAAAATATATGTATATACAATACAGAAAAAATATGTTTTGAGTGTTATATTGAATTATATTGTATATAATAAATATTATATTTTAAATATATTTTATATTTATATATTTGGAAGGAACAAAAAGCTTGGTATGTGTGTGTTGTTTGTTGAGTTTGTGTCACCAGATCACGGCCAAGTGACCTACATTGTTTACAGTGTTCAGTCAGTGTTAACAAGCTCCCGTTTTGGCAGAGAATCTCTTTCCATCTACAGTCGTCTCAACTGAGCTGCTAACTCCCCGTTAAACTGGGACTAAGAACAAACACTTTGTCAACTTCAGCTTTACATTCAAATTGGCTAGAAAAGTTTTCTGGATTGTCAAACACTGGAGTCAAAGTCTAAGCACTTGGATGTTTTGTCCAACTGAAAAATGGTGGTCTCTTATAGATAACTTGGATTTATGATTTTGTTCTGTGGATCCCGGTCAGAAAAGACACTGTTTTTGGCTGCAAATTTTGTTCGCACAATCTGGATTATTACACTCTAGTGTTAGCACTTATACAAATGACTGAATATCTCATGACAAATGGCAAATCTGGGGCAGCATTTCTTCCAATTTCTGCAAGTTAAACACAGATCTAAAGTACAATAGTCAAACTGTCAAATGAAACATGTCCAACGCGAATATCAGAGGAGTTGGAGTAGGAGCAGTGTTGGGTTTGATGGCACATCTCTATTTTGGGCACTGTGGCAGGCCAGCGGGAGCTCACAGACTAATAGCAGACCACATGCGTAGAAAAGAGGGAGGCACAGATGGCGATGCCACGTCTTATTATTCACACTGAACCAACGTCACCACAGCTACTGTACGCCCAGCGAGAAGACCATTTAACATCATTTGGAGGAAAATGAAGCAGAGAGGAATATTGTAATTAGTCACAATGTGTGTGTGTGTTTGTGTGTGTGCGCATGTGTGCGTGTCATCCCATGTTCATGTTCTCTGGTCTTTTCTTCAGGTCGACTCCTAAAAAAATGTATCCAGAATTTTGTGTGTTTACTTTAGTGTTTTTTTTTTGTTGGCTTCAGCAAAATAAAAGTGTAGTATTTTAGGAAAAAGAAAAGACCAGAGAAGATTTATGGATGTAGTGAAGGAAGACATGTAGGTTGTTGGTGCTAAGGTGAGCAAAGTAAGGCAAAGAAAAGGGTCTGGTGATCTGCTGTGATGATTCATGAAGCAGTGAGAGTTGTCAGGCCACAGGTCGAGTTGAAAATTCAAATTACAAAAACAGGTTTTTGTTTCTACAAAACTCTTAAAAGAAAAATTCCAACTTTACCTTAAAAATAGAAGAAGAAGAAAATGAGATGCCGTCTCTGAAGTCTCAATGACTGTTAACAATACAGGTTGGAAATATAATGCTATTACAAAGCATATTTTGATAGAAACACTCAATAAATCCTTTGTTTTAAACCAGGATATCATCACATAAAAAAAGCCAAATCATATATTATAACATATATTTGTTGATGTCATCTTGTTTCAGATATGCCTCCACACAGGCAGCCCCACAGACCCTGACCAGCGGGACAAGCAGACAGACAGGTCTGATATTGACATCCTGCGACGCTACATCACCCGCTGCATCCCTGGCCTGCACCCTGAACCTGCAGTGGTGGAGAGCTGCATGTACACAGTACGTGCTCAAACTCAGTGTCATCATGTTTGCATCATCTGCATTTACATATCAGTTGTGTCAAACTAGTTATAATTCATAAAGAAGTGTGGGGAAAATTAAAGGAGAATAAAAACAATTTGAAAGTCAGTTGTTCCACAAAAAAGAAAAAAAAAGATTTTTTTGCTGCACAATGGTTATGAAGCAGCAGTGACAAACTCACACGTTGCAAGATTATGTGCTTGTTTTTAGTGGAGCCTCCTCTTCCTATTGGTTAAAAATTCTAGATTTTTGCTTTAGATCTGACAAACAATTTGTAATTTATCTATTTTACCCTCAGATGTTCTGGAAACAGTACATTTATTGGTATAGGTTTATCATCGCCCAGTAAATGCGCTGCTGCCTGTATATAATTCACAGGTTGATGTGTTTCCTGTGCTCAGACGCTCGTGTGTCAGGGTTGCAATCACACAGCAGAAAGTGTAGTATTTTAGGAAAAAGAAAAGACCAGAGAAGATTTATGGATGTAGTGAAGGAAGACATGTAGGTTGTTGGTGCTAAGGTGAGCAAAGTAAGGCAAAGAAAAGGGTCTGGTGATCTGCTGTGATGATTCATGAAGCAGTGAGAGTTGTCAGGCCACAGGTCGAGTTGAAAATTCAAATTACAAAAACAGGTTTTTGTTTCTACAAAACTCTTAAAAGAAAAATTCCAACTTTACCTTAAAAATAGAAGAAGAAGAAAATGAGATGCCGTCTCTGAAGTCTCAATGACTGTTAACAATACAGGTTGGAAATATAATGCTATTACAAAGCATATTTTGATAGAAACACTCAATAAATCCTTTGTTTTAAACCAGGATATCATCACATAAAAAAAAGCCAAATCATATATTATAACATATATTTGTTGATGTCATCTTGTTTCAGATATGCCTCCACACAGGCAGCCCCACAGACCCTGACCAGCGGGACAAGCAGACAGACAGGTCTGATATTGACATCCTGCGACGCTACATCACCCGCTGCATCCCTGGCCTGCACCCTGAACCTGCAGTGGTGGAGAGCTGCATGTACACAGTACGTGCTCAAACTCAGTGTCATCATGTTTGCATCATCTGCATTTACATATCAGTTGTGTCAAACTAGTTATAATTCATAAAGAAGTGTGGGGAAAATTAAAGGAGAATAAAAACAATTTGAAAGTCAGTTGTTCCACAAAAAAGAAAAAAAAAGATTTTTTTGCTGCACAATGGTTATGAAGCAGCAGTGACAAACTCACACGTTGCAAGATTATGTGCTTGTTTTTAGTGGAGCCTCCTCTTCCTATTGGTTAAAAATTCTAGATTTTTGCTTTAGATCTGACAAACAATTTGTAATTTATCTATTTTACCCTCAGATGTTCTGGAAACAGTACATTTATTGGTATAGGTTTATCATCGCCCAGTAAATGCGCTGCTGCCTGTATATAATTCACAGGTTGATGTGTTTCCTGTGCTCAGACGCTCGTGTGTCAGGGTTGCAATCACACAGCAGAGCTGAAGACAGTCTAATATCTGTGACCTTGTCCAAAGCCAGTGAAAAATCCTGAGAGTCACAGATCGGTCTCACTTCACAGCCAGGGTGTTGTTGTAGAAGCAGTGATTCTTATGATGGGGAGGAGAGTTAAGATAAAAGGCATGAAGTAGGACCCTACGTCTGCCTTTGTCCTGGTTCAACACTTTACATTCAGCTGCACGTGACGCACGTGGACAGACACCGCTGCACAGACGGCATGGAGACAAATGTGTTTCTGAGAACAGCATTATGTCCTTGTACCGTCAACTGTCTGTTCACGTCAACGTCTTGATGTGACAGCACAAAGACACAGGGTAGAAATGCCACGTTGTTTTACTCTCCTTTCCTACAACAGACACTTATATAGACACGTATATTTGTGCTTTATTTAATGCCGTGCCTGACTAGTCTCCTTCCTCCTCCTCCTTAATTAAACCTAAACATCTGCGGGCTATGAAATACACTGTAGTGTTAACATATGTAGATGAACATTTGAACCCGTTCATCCAGCCCACCAGGTTATCTGCTTCATCAGCTTTTCATACAGTAACTGAGCTGTATGTTAAACGATGTTCCACCATATTCTTCTAAGGTTCCTAGTACTGTGTGATACCTGTTAAAGGTGGAACCGTTTCTCTGGAAGTCATTGTGAGTCATGGTTTGTTTTTCTGTTTTTATAGGTAACTCCTGACAGTCACTTTGTGCTGGACTGTCACCCTGAACACAGGAACATAGTGATTGGAGCGGGCTTTTCAGGTGAACACAAAACACAACAGAACATGAACGTAATCTAAAGGTTATCGTGGTTTTAAGTTTTAGTTTTAACCTTGTCTGAAAATGAGACTTTCAGACTCGATGTAACTTCTGACACATTTTTAACTAAATTTACATTTTTATTACTAGTACAAAAGTATTTCAAAATTGTTAAAAATTCAGCTAAACCATCATAGTTACCAACATGGTCACCCTCTGGGGTTATACAGATAAATATTTAAAAAAAAAGGTGGGGCCAAGTTTATCAAATATTTGTTCAACAAACTATGAAGCGGCACTTGACTTCTTGTGGGAAATTGCGGTATATCAACAAAAGATAGAGATGGTTGGTGTGCTGAATTATTTATAAGGAGCCATGTGTGAAGTCTAACTTTGGCTTCGCTGATGAACAAATGGGAGTTTTCACAGGTTGAAGGTGTTAAAACAGGACAGCTTTTAGCAGAAGAGTTTAATGCTGCGGTGTTTACAGAGTAGACAAATCCTTGGGTATTTGACCAGGGGAAAAGTTGGTTTCTGAACAAGTTATTCCTAAAATACAGGTACTTGAAGTTTCTTGTTACATGTGTCAGTTTTTACTCATTTGTTAATAGGATAGGTGTCAATTTGATCATTAAATAGATCAGTTATTGCATTTTAACAGCATTTTTTATTATATTTTCTGTCTTTGATGAAAAATCATTGACTTGTCAGTGTAAAGACTGTTCTTCATTTTTGAGTGAAACAGGATTAACTCGACCCACCAAAGACCATATACTGAGGTTAAATTTTAATTATTTTTGTGTACAAGTGGTTATAAACAGCAGAAAAATTAGTAAAAAAAAAAAAGTTAAAGTTTTCCTGTACTGCTAACACTATTAAACCCAGAGTGACATATTTTGCTATATTATTTCAACAAAAAAAAAGTTGTCCTATTACATTAAAATAAAAACATGATCAGGTTATTGTACTTGTCAGCAGTGGGTAATTTGAAACTCTTTGGGGAGAAAAACCTGATTGAGCCTCAAGCTTTCATTAGCACAGATATGCTCGGCAGCGAAGAGGGAAATGGCTGCGGCCGCACAGCCCAGGCTGCTTTGGAGGAAATTAATCTGTGTAGAACTAATTGTCAAAGGGATTATGCTGAGAGGGAACCGTATATTGATGCGCCACCGATCATGCTCAAGGCAATTAATTATACAAAAACAGGATCACTGGTCCTGTTCTGAGCCAAGCTGAGCTCAAATCTTGACACACACTGACGTTTCTTAGTCACCAGGAAAAGGTCAAGTATGGCCACAATGTGGACCTCCATCAGAACCAACACTGAGAAGTTAACCAATGGATATTCAATCCATCTATCCAAACATGCATCCATCCATTCATCATTTCAAACCTATTCCCAGACATTTTTGAGGGAAAAATCACATATTCCCACCCATAGTTTAGGAGTCTGTAAACTCTCAATTTAACCGTCATTTTATAGTATTTTAAGAGAAGCAGATTCACACCGAGAGAACATCAAATATGTGAGGTTGTTAGTCTTGCCGTGCCACATTCTAAAAAAGCAGTGTTTAAAATAATCCGCACGCGGAGCTTTATTTAAGATATTCACCAGTCTATCTGAGGAAATACTTAATCAGACTCATCGTTATTCATGTCGACTCTTGCTCCGAGGTTTCTGAGAATGTCTGCACAAGAAGTCAGACTAAGGCACTGATCAAGTGTGGTGTCATGGAAACACAACAAAACAATGGACTAATTCAACACAAGCCACATTTTAAAAATAACAATCTCAAAATGAATCTCACGGGTGAAAAAAATAAAAAATAAACCAACACAATCCTGTGCTGTTCAAACGGCGGTGTGGTCAAGTAGGCCACTTTTTCGGTGTATGAAAGGCGACAGCTGCGAGCTCCTTGTTCACCTGACATGTTCTCATGATGAGGGTCTGTCGACACGACCGCAGCAGCAGCCACTTGAATAAGGATGAATTGTCCCTCTCCACTCAGGAGGAGCAGGGAGCAGACAAGCCCAGTGTGTCTGAGCGCTGCGTGTGAAGAGCCAGGGACGTGTGCATGTGTGAAATCCAGAAATAATAAGCGTGACGGTTGAAGGTACATGTCTGAACAGGCTGGTGACAGCTGAGTGTCAGAGCATCCTGATCAGAGTCTCAGAGGTGTAAATATTAGACAGGATAAAAAAAAAAGATCATCTTGATGATTTCTGCTTTTAGTAAATGGAATTGTGTTGGAATGGCCAATTTAGCTTACATTTGGAGCCTGCAAAAACTTCATTTGTCTATGGATTTCTCTCTTGTACAATCAAGAACATTTCCTCACTTAAAAAAGCTTGTATTTAACAACTTCCTTATTTTCACTTTCTTAACCAAACAAGGTGGCTCCCAAGTACCACCTTAACTTAAGTTGTTTAGAAAACTCACGTGCCTGGCTGAAGTCTAAATATTTATTTTAGCTGTGCCAGTTTTAAAGCAGCTGCAGACACAACTGTGAAGCAGCTCATGATTCACAGCTGGCCCGATGGCAGCGGGGAGAGTCTGGAGAAACCCCTCGAGTCCTCTACCGGGATTGCCTGGAATGAGGCTGTGCCACGGACACGAGCGAATGCCTCAGACTGGGAGGTGGTAAAATATATGGTACACTTCTCGAGGGGCGAAAAACTCATGAATTTGAGGGTCCATTTGAAAGGCCCACAGAAGAAAGCCTGTCTGCTTTACTCCTAACAAGGTTGTGCAGGGACAGAGGCGAGCACAAATCCACTGGACGAGGAGCTAAATCAAATCCAGGCAACTCCAAGAAGCATTGGATGATTATATTTACATCTGCTGGGACTCAAATACAGTGACTTAGTGCCCACACCTGGACAGGAAGTTTTTGGGTTTTTTTAAAGCCCTAAAAACACAAAAGGTACAGCATGTTTCTCTAAAGTTACTTTTTAGTAACTTTGTTAGAAAGTACCTCACAATTTTAATCAGGTTGATTTATTAGTATTTTTGTGCACCTCACAGCAAAGGGTCCAGATGACATTATACTGATGTCTAGTTGGGGGCGGAATTGGAGGGTTTGCGGCCTGAAAAAGGCCCGAGTGCCAGGGGTTTGATACACCATGGCCTTCCAGTCCTAAGCCATCAGGGACATGGTGTGTGGTATAACAGACTCGAGCTACTTAAAGTCTTAAAGTTTTGTCCGATCTCTTATGAGAAGCCGGACTTTTCCCATTAGGAGAAAGATCTTCAGCGATTATTAAAAAAAACACACAGAGGAAAACTTCAGCCATCAGTCCGACCGTAGCCGTCATGTTTTCTACGCCACGCATCACACAATAACAGCCCTGTCATGTTCACGAGCTCCGCAGCCGTCAAACTGCTACATTTGTCACATTGCGTTAGTTGCCATCTTGCGAGAAGGAATCATTGCTATTCCGCTGCTATCACGGAGCGACAGAACATCCACAGGGTCCCGTCGGACTCACCAAAGCTTTCACATATTCAGGGAACATAGATCCTTAACTTTTAATTAGTTCTGGTCTATTGTGAAAGGTGGAAGAACACCTTTCCTCTCTTACAATTACCTTCAGTGTGTCCTGGCACTTTTCCATCTCTTCATGCTGTCATGTCCTTTACCTAATTATATCTGAAATTAATAACCAGCTCACAGTTCTCCACTTGCAGGATAACAGAAAGAGAAAGAACCCGGAATTTTAATTTGAATTGCATTCTTGTAATAATGTTATTTCCAAGTGCCGGTGAGTCGTGGACACTGTGTGACTGTGAATTCATTGACACCAGTGTAATAAGTGTGACACTCTGCTAATTAAGGTCATTGTCTTCCAAGAGGGGTCACTGCACGGCTACAACATGCACTTGGCAAATTATTTATGTCACGTCAAAGGTTATTGCTGGGTCACACACGGGAATGAACACTTTATCATCTGTGGATCGTTGTAATTAATGAAAAACATGACACTGTGCCACCAGGACGTCTCATCAGGAGTACTAATATATATTGAAAGCGGGGTTGACCGATAATATTGACCGGCCGATATTATTGGACGATATTAGCCCAGTGTGTCTGAGCGCTGCGTGTGAAGAGCCAGGGACGTGTGCATGTGTGAAATCCAGAAATAATCAGTGCGACGGCTGAAGGTACATGTCTGAACAGGCTGGTGACGGCTGAGTGTCAGAGCATCCTGATCAGAGTCTCAGAGGTGTAAATACTGGAGAGGATGAAAAAAAAAGATCATCTTGATGATTTCTGCTTTTAGTAGATGGGATTGTGTTGGAATGGTCCATTTATTTTACATTACATTATTGGACGATATTAGCATCAGTAAGAGTTAATGATTAAGATGATCGGTTTTCTATTTCTATATTTCTGTTTTCACAATGATTAAGATGATAGGTTTTACCTCCAATGTTTTCTATTTCTATATTTCTGTTTTCATATATTTCTGTAGTCATTGATTCACCCAGAACTTTTTCTTTTTGAGAATAAATTGTTTTGGTTGAATCATCCTCAGTCTTGTGCAGGATAGAGTATTTTGTTTTATTTTCTTCTCATCAAAATCCAATTGAAATTTACAAAACAGACTTCCTGAAGAAAACATCAAAGTAATTTATAACAACAGCCTTTTTAAAAATATAAGTTAGATAAGTAGGTATTTCCATATTTCTGAACTTATGATACTATACGATTTACAAATTAAAAAAAAAACAAAAAGAAATCACAACATGACAAGCACTTCTTTAACATTTTGCTACTGAACGTTGAACAGATAGATTAAAATCTTTTAGTTTTACTGGAACAACAAAGTTCTGGAGCCATCTGGTCAGGATGTTTCCTGCTGTTGAGGTCACTCTGCCTCACACAGAGCACCCACAGCAACTTGAAGGTGTCCAAAACTCTTCCTTTCTGTCTGTTTGTAAAAAAAAAAATCTCCTGATGTCGACCAATGACAATCTTTTTTTCTTTAACTGTCAAAACTAATTTGCTAATTTAAATGTTCGATTCGTCTTCAGTCTCAATCCCCACTGTGATGAAGGGTCTGTTTCAAAGGTTTCTGTAAAAGTCTCTTTATCTAGATCACGCCGACAAAGACCTTTTTCCCCTCACAGCCTTTTCTGACTGGAGACACGTTGAACTGTATAATTACACCGCGGAGCTTTTTCTCTCTGACGTTGTTTAGTAGAAATTGAACATCTGCCAGATCCTTGTCCATTGTATTTTATGATCCAATTCAATAAGAAAGGAGGACGAATTAATCACACTGGTGCTAATGATGTGAACCAGCACCTCTGCACTTTAGCCCCTCCCTCCCCCCGTCCCCCAACCAACTATTACTACATAGATGAATATAATTCTGTTTTACGACAGGGATAAAATATATTATAAACTGACTTTTGTCATTATTGATGGTTGTATGTCAGTAAAAAAAAAAAATTAAAAAAATCAAGGATTGACTCAAATACATTTAAATAACTTTTACTTAAGGGAAACATGGGCATTTAGCCCAGCAATGCATTTTATTTGATGTACAGTATATAGTAATACAATACAGAAAAATTACAGAACTGTACGATATATGAAACTGTGGAACTAAAAATCCATTTCATATGTTTTTCTTATATATGTTGTACAAGCAAAAATAAATAACTTACAAAAGAAAATTAAAATGAGATAAAATAAAAACAAAAATCCCTGGATATTATCTAAAAGCTAAAAAAAAAACTAAAAAAAAAAAAAATTAAAACTGTTGAAGTAAAGTACATTTTCTATCCTGGTGGTGAGTCTTTAAAAAGATTCAAATGTCACAACCACCTGTGAAGTTCCCACTTTAGATGTTCCCACTCCAGACAGAGGGACATGAAGGGGTTCATATTCAACCAAAAAGTACCATCTACCATCAGTAGAACTAAGGATGAAGTCCCGTCACCCTCGTCCTCTCTGTTAAACGGGTGACTCACTTTCATGCTAATTAATAGCCAGGGCTTCTTAGCAGCGGCGGTGAAGTAGTTCAGAGTAACATGCAGTACAAGTTGAGGTGGCCTATTCAAAAAGCAGGAAAAATGATTTTGATTCACGTTGTGTACTCGCCATCAAAGGCCAAGTCGAGAGCTTTAGAGTAAGCACTGGTGGGTTGCTATGGCTACGAAGTCATCCTGTGGCTTCCACTATTTTTTTATTTATTTTTTTCATTATTCTTCGTGGCGAGATGAAAATTCACATGGCCAAACTGTCAGAGCCCGGCTTTTATGGCTTCAAAGCTCGACGGAATCCTGGGGAGACGGGAGACCTTTGTCAGATGGCAGTGGGCTGCATTCCCTCAGCCCCGGTGACATTCACCATTTTCCTCTCAGACCTGAGCAGGAGGGAATGTCAGGCTGCTGCCTTTTTGATGATAGATGCCCTCTCATCTCAGGCCTCCACTGTGGGAGGAGAAGACAAATCATCCCTATGCAGATTGTGGTCGCTGCTCACTAAAGTGAATTGATGCTGTGTGACAGTCAACACGACAGCTTTGCTCTTCTCCTCTGTATGTGCATTCAAGTGAACTGTCAATCCATCACCTCACTCAAAGGTGCGGGGCGTGGACTTGGTTGGGTCAACGCAGGTCGATTGATCTGATGTCACTTAACGACCTGTTGTCGTTACTTCTTCTTCTCAGGTCATGGCTTCAAGTTTGGACCAATCATCGGCAAGCTCCTGAGTGAACTGAGCCTGGGACAGGTGCCCTCCTTTGACCTTTCACCTTTCCGCATAAGACGATTTCAGGGACAGACCAAATCGGCTCTGTAGATCAGAGGTGACGAACCAACGCGGCTTCAAATGCATCTTCGTCAAATCCAGAATCCAAAGATCCAGAAGATTAAAAACAAAGCCTGACATGAACCCACAGCAGGTTTTAGTTTTCAGCCTGGTTTGAGTCTTTTTATCTAATTTAATCTGAGCTTTTCTACTTCCACTGGATTTTCACTGAAAACACCAGATCTGTTATATTATGTTTCCGTAGTTTGTGAAACTGACAGAGACAAACGTAGGGATCAACTTGTGAAGATGTTTTTACTTTTTAGCCAGTTTATAATTTCAAAATGAAAAATAGGACTGTTAAAATGAATACTTTAATAAATGTTAATTTGATGTGATTAACGCTGTACCTTTAAGGACCATGCGTCTTTTAAATGTTTAAATTTCTAAATTATGTTTGTTCTGATTTTGAATCATCAGTTACATAATCCTTTCAATAAAATTATGAAAAAAAATCCTTTTTTAAGGGGACAAGTGATTTTTTTTTTGCAATTAATTAAAGTGATTAATCCAGATTTAATATATGAATATTTCCTACAGCTGTGGGCTGACGTCTTCTTCTGCTCCTGTCAGCACTTCCTTCCCAAACATCTCTGTCAACGTCTGACTCCTGATTGGATGGAGTACTGCGAGGTACCTGAGCAGTATCTACCAGATTTACCAACAAGCCCTGAGATTTAGGGACTGGAGTCACTGATCAGACAGTTTACTGTATATCAGCTCTGGCTGTGGTATTAAAGAGCTGCAGGAAAGATTTGACCAAACTGAATTTCACTGACAGCAGCTTTAACAGCTTGATACGGAGATGGCTGGAAGGCAGCGAGGAGGATTTGTCACTTGTGTTTTAATGCTGTACAATATGTTTGTTCCACTGCTTTTTGAACAGGTGATTTGGGGGGAGGGTAAGCAGAACCGTCAATCAGCAATCAATGGTGAAGCAACAAGACGAGCGATTCATTATCAAGGCCCGGGTTCTGACGTTCTGTAACGCATGTGTAAAACGATCCGTCTGTGACGTTCTGTACGGATGCTCATAAAAGAAACTTTAATTGCGTTCTCCCCGTGCTGCTCGATTACATGCTCGTGTGGTCCTCACATCCCAGCAGCCGCCGCGCCGTCGGCCGAGAACATGGTTAGAAAGACTGTTGTACCAACATGCTATTGCATGTGCATGAGCCAGAGGAGGCAGTATTTCTCCATGTGCTGGTAAACATGTAAATCACCAATCAGACAGCCTATTACAATAGATGCCAACCAGAGCCATCGGCAGGAATGAGGAAATTATGCAGCAGAATGGCAGAGATCAGTGAGCCATTTGCTCTCCTGCCTCTAAGTGACTTTAGACAGATCACACGAAACCATTATGCAAATGGAAAGAATTACAAGTACATTAAACATGCAAATGCAAATATTCAACCGCCAGTAATCGTCAGGCAGGGCAAACTAAAATGTCTCTCTGGAACAATGTCTACCTCCTGAAATCACCGCTAAACTTTGAATAAATGTTTGCTTTTACTGCTGAATATGAACCAAATATGTAAAACAAGCGCCAGACGCAGGAACTGGAACAAAGGAGGAGTCGAAATATAAACAGGACAGGATGCTGCATGTTCTAAATAATGTAGTATTATTTAAATTAATTACTTTATTTTTTGTTTTATATTACTTTTTTATTATTTCATTATATTATGATTTTATTGTTGTCTTTTCTGGATGATAAAAAAAAGTCTGGACTGAACTTCAGACAGTTTGATTGACAGCAGTGTGATTGACACTGAGTCGTGACTTTACATGAACCAGAGCAAAGCTCCACTTTATCCACAGCAGGAGTGTATATACATACACATACATACACACATACAAAAATATACCAACATGTATACAGTATATATGTAAGAATATGCAAATTCCATAAAAACTACGGTCTGCCGTGGATGATGAAGACTTTCTCCGAGGTTTGACTTCACTCTGAGCTACATCTGCATATTTTGCAGCCCCGTCGACTGAACTCCATTTGTCGTTAAATCAATTGTTATAAAACACAATTTAATACAATTCCAAAAGTTGGGAAGGAAATTAACTAAAGTCATTAACCACACACAGAGAATCAGCATCTCCGATTTAACCACAGCAGGAGCAGCTTCAGCAGAGAAATAAACAGTTTCACTCACAATGATGAGATGAAATTCTGACAAAATATTTAGAATGTTCAGCCGAATGAATATTCTCAACTGAATGTTGAGACGCACGTCGTCTAACCACAGAAATACGCATAAATGTTATTTAGGGTACTACATCATCAAGTACTGGACTGTACATTTTGTACTTGTTTTTCACGACTTCCAACAAACAAACGCTCCACGACGATAAATACAACCTGTTTAAAACAAGTCTTTTTTATTTTTCTTCTGTGATTTCAGTGTTTTCATCCAATTTCACCTGATTGGATCCTTCAGTTCTAAAGTCGAAGAGGCCAAATAACACAATACACAGCATTTAAAAGTTTATTTTTAACTGTCAACTATTAGCACCTGTGGCTCTTAGGCTGCATTCACTGACCTCCAGAAAAGCACAGGATCATCGTAAGATCTATTTCAGTTTCACCCAACATGATGGAGATTCAGAGCAGGTGTAATATTGACCTTTACTTCAGCACCATCAACCCTACAGGAAACAGACCCCGAGGATGGGAATGTTGGCGTTAATCTCTAAACCAAAAATTAAACACACACAAAAAAAAAAAATCAGGAAGAAAGAAAACAAAAATCAAGCAAAATAAAACTGCAGCTCTGTCCATTATTTCTTTTGTCACGTCTGTTTTAATGACTGGTTACAGCTCATAAAGAAGTATGAACAAAACCACAAAAAGACATTTAATAATTTATAATTAGGGTTAAGGAATGATAAATTAATTATATTCCATGTCCTGTCATTAAATGTTAAAGTTTTTTTCTACTTCAAAAATTGAAAGAGAGAGAAAAAAACACTCCATCTTTTTTTCCCCACTGTGCGTATGAAGGTAGTTCAGCTTGAAAAGGAAGTTGGACTTCACTAATAAAGATGAGCTGAATTAAAAAAAATAAAAAGGACTCACCGTCTCCTGTGTGTCCTGTCCACAGACACGGTCCACAGACACGGTCCACTGGATCAACTACGCTCAGAAGTTCCAGATTTAGTTTTTCTGCTTCTGTTTTGTCAGAGATCAGCTGAATTCTCCAAACTCTTGTTTCCTCACAGTTCCATTTACTTCCAACATGGTCTTCACTTCACTCCACAACCTGAAATGAACTTTGAATTATCTCAACTCTCTGTCTAGTCTCTCCCTCTGTTTCTCTTTTCTTCTTTTGTTTGACTTCTTTTCCTCCATTTTCCACAGGTGCGTTTGATTAATCTACCCTGCTCCTCCCCCACCAACCTGTTTGGCTGCAGAGCTGCAGTCATTTTCTTTTAATTTAACCAAATTTCCCGCCCTTATTGTGTGACTCTGTTGCCGTGTAGATTGTTGATGCTGACAGAAATTTTAGGTAGACTCAACTTATTAAAAGTTTGTTTAAAAAAACCGGGGAAGAAACTTTTAAATTTTAATTTTTTTTAATTGTAGTTTAAACCAGAAAGATTAAATATTTTTTTGGCTGGTGCGACCTATACTCTGAAAAAATACAGTAATCCCAATATTAATCCAAACAAAATGTATTTTCCTGTGTGTTCCTCCTGTTGATTCAAAGTTCAGATGTGTAACTATTACAGCTCATCATCTACAGTCCGTTTATAAAAACAATTAGTCGATTGTTCAGAGGTGATGAGTGACATTCCCTCAGTTCGTCAGTGATTTTTCTTCCCACAGACACAGTGTGATCTCTGAGACTGTACTTCACGAGGCTGGTAGAGACGCTCGCCTGTATCTTTAGGGAAATACTTTATTGTACGTCTGCCCTTTCCTTTATAACCACCGTGTTATCTCCCAACTGGGGCCACGGTGAGATTAACCTTCACAGAGTTGCCCTTTACATTTCTGCCCACAGTCACCTGCCCCTCGTCTGAACCTGAATCAGTGGCAACAACCGGTGGGAAAATAACGTAGGCAAATCTCGACATTTCTTTGTACTAACGACTGTGTGTGTGTGTGTGTTATTGTCACACAAACGTGATCACAGTCCTCGTGCATTCATTCACTTCATCACTTCATGTTTTCTGACTAAACTAGAGCAGGTGAAAAACCCTTAGTTACCACTAGGGATTGGATGTTCCATCTTCTCGCATGCGTCTCAAATGTACATTTTCACTTTATTGTCAAGAAAATATAAGGACGTCTATATTTATCTAATGACATTTACAAGATGAATAATAATAATATAATATTCTAATTAGTTAGTTATTATTATAATATTTGTCATTGCTGTCGTTGCTGTTGTTGTTGTTATCATCATCATTCCATCGAGATGGTCGATTGGAGATGGATTTCCTGTGCTCGACCTGATTGACATGATGTCTGTCAGAAATGCGTCCCACACTCACCAGCTGAAAGGCCACGACAGTGAAAACCAACATGGCACCTGTCTGAGACACATCACTGTCCTTCAGTAACCTTTTCAACAAATACCAACGGCGTGAGCAGCAGCAGATGTGAACGGAGGCGGGAGGAAGAGGAGGATGAGGAGGGGGAGGTTAAAGATGGAGGATGGGGCGGTTGACAATAACATTCATTTTTTCTGTGTGTGTTGACCTTTTGACCTTTATTTATTATTGTAGGTGGAGCCTGATTCCCAGCCAAACTCACTCTAAAGCAGCAGAGATGAACATCAGAGGAGACGGACTAAGAACTCAGTTTGACTTTGACTTTGATCGGGGGTCATTGAACGCAGCAGTCGGAACAGTGATTTAGAACAGTTTTTACCCCCGATGTCCTTCATGGGACGAACCTGTTCACTCTGACCAACGACAAATTTAAACCAGGAATCTACAGAGTGGCAGCTGAAGGACGGCTCCACTCTGTCCACTTCTCTTTGTCGTTCACTGGAAACTAGAAAAACATTCAATTATTTATAAATGAACATTAATGTGATGTTTTTAAATTGTTAGTTTGGTTTGAACGGAGAGGAAATTATAATGATTGCTCATCATTAATCATGATTAATCATGATTAGTCATGATGGAGTTGAGATAAATCAATGCTCCTTAATGTGAGTGAATGAAACAAAATGTTTTTCTTTATATTTGTGGAACAGAAAGATTGATAACAGCAGGTAAATGTCACAACTTGTTTGGTTTTAATTTGTGACTAACCTAAATGATGGGATTAATTATTCACTCAGTGGATTGATGGATTTATTGGATTAGG